TCGATAAGAGTAGGCTTCGGCCGCCACCCGGGCAAAATTAAAAATTTCCTACCAACTGAAAATATTAGGTGTGTCCCGCGCGCTCATATGACCTAATGCAGTTGTGAGCGCCGTATACTTAACAAAAAAACAAAAAAAAGTAACTCCGGTCTTTTTGTTACAGTGTCACTCGTCGTCCAGTCTGTACTGTAGCTATAACAACGCCCTCAACAATGGATGGTGGACAGTTCCTGGACAAAGTGGTCATCGTGACTGGGGCGAGCTCTGGCATCGGTCAACAGGTGGCCTTGACCCTCGCCGACAAAGGCACAAAACTAACGATTCAAGGTCGCGACCAGGACAGACTGAACGAAACTCTAGAACAATGTCGGAAGGCGAGCGGGAAAAAGGGCAATATCACTACAGTTCTAGGTGACGTCACTGAAACGGAAGTGAGGAAAGCCCTCGTGGATAAAACAATTCAGACTTTTGGCAGTTTAGATATTCTCATCTCCTGTGTTGGGATGGCTTTTCCTTCGTCTGGCATCTTTGATGAGACGGAGGAAACCTTCGATATCGTTATGAACTCTAACCTTCGTTCCGTGTTTTTCCTTATCCAGTACGCTACCCCGTACTTGGAGAAGACGAAAGGGAGCATCGTTGTGGTGTCCTCTGTAGCGAGCTTGATGCCTCAGCCACAGAACACTGTCTACGCCATGGCAAAGAACAGCCTCAACCATTTGGTCAGTTGTCTGGCGGTAGAGTTGGGACCTAAAGGTACTTTCTGTTCATTTATCAAGATATCTCCCTCCCCCTTGTCTGTCTCTGTCTGTCTCTGTCTATCCCTGTCTCTGTCTCTTTTTCTGTCTCTATCTCTATCTCTGTCCCTGTCTCTGTATTTGTCTCTGTGTTTGATGTACTTGTCTCTGTCTCTGTCTCTGTATCTGTCTTTGTGTCTGATGCACTTGTCTTTGTCTCTGTCTCTATCCGTCTGTCTATCTGTGTGTCTGTCTCTCTGTCTGTCTGTCTGTCTGTCTGTCTGTCTGTCTGTCTGTCTGTCTGTCTGTCT